TATCGTCATCATTCAGTATTATACCACGTTACGAACACAAATTACGAGGCGCATTACGTTTTATATGCAGCTGTCGTTAAAGCATATGAATGGCAAAGTTACGCAATGGTCCCATAAATTAATCTATTATGGGGATTTTTTAATCCATCTATTCGATAGATGTAAAAGAGATTATTTCTCTAAACAGTTTGCATTTTATTTTGCAGAAAAAGATATCTTTGTTCTACGATTATTTTTGTATCAGCGACACAAAGATTATCATACGATTAAACTTCAATAACTGCACAGCGTTTGTAAATTAAAAAATTTTAAAGACCAGACAATTTAAAAAAATTAAATGAGTTTGATTCTACAGATGTTTTAAGAGTTGCGAGACTTGCAAAATACACTTTGTTGTCAGTTAAAATTAATGTATCGCAATGCGTGATGAAATCGCTGATTGAGATTAAATAAATCCGTAACGCGCTAAATAATTCTACACCGAGATCTCCCTTCGAATATCGCTAATCATATATCGATAATTGCAATTATTGAATCTATCAACAACTGTCTGAAGAATATTCTTTTTATTGTGAATATCATATACTCGAGTGTACGAGAATTTCCGCTAATTGATGAGAATGTTGCAAGCGAGTCTCGCCAAACAGTACGAACGTCGGAAGTATCGAGATGATGAGAAAGATAACAAGAGAATCGACAGCAGGCCGAGATACTTGTTTTCTGCAGGTCAAGTGACACCTGTACCTTTGATCTCGGCGATGTGTGCGTCATATTCGCTTCTGCTGCGCACGTACTCGATTCTCGCGGCGACATTCTGGAAGCTCTGATTGCGATATTCGGCGTACCACTCCGCTGGCGGCCGTTCGTCCGCGCCCAATTGCTGGACTCGAGGACTGCTGCTTCTTCTCTGCAATAGACTCTCTTCTGAGGGGAACCTCGTGAAAGAGGTGACCGAGCTGGACTTGCTGCCGTGACTCTGCACGCCATGACTATGACTCTGATAGGCCGAGTCTTCGAGGATGTGCTCCTCGCTAGGAGTTCTGCTTGATTCTGTCAAGACACGCTGCTGAACAACCGCAGGGTCGCCATTAGTGCTACCCGAACTGATCGCACGACCTTAGCGCCGTTCAGCTCGCCTTCCTCCACCAATCGCTCGAAACTTTCCTCGAACGAAGAATCACTTGTTCTGGAAGACGGTCGCCGGTGTGTCGGAGACCGGATAGGTCTGCGCGTGTCCGAGTCTTCCAGGAGATCCTCGGTGCTGGGACTACGTCCAGTCGACCAGACCTGTTCGAAAAAACTCACCCGGTCCCTCAGCCGGGTACCACGTGGCGTTCTCGGACTACCGCTACCATCGGCGCCGCCACCGCCGGGGCTGTCTACCCTCGGCGGTGTTGGACTACCTTTGGGTGGTGTTGTCCGCGACATATTCGTGTTTTTTTATCTCATTGTTTTTTCTCAAGAATCATCAACCGACATGTCACGTTCATTGAGTCCACAGATCCGGTTCTTCTTTCTTCCCTTCCCTCGTCCTAATTTTATGCCCGAGAAGACTCTTCAACACCTGTTCTCCCGACACCACACCCCTTACACTAGGTTACATATGCCGCATTCGCGTCACCTGCTTCGTTTTAATGACTGTCAAGAGCGTACGAGTATTTACAGACGCGTCTAGTCGTCCTATCAATCGAATCGGTAAACTTTAACCCTGCTTACGAGTATATCTTGGGCTGATTTTCTGTCAGTACCCATAATAGCGGAGTGCGCACCTACGTATAGTTTGCGTTGGAGGCGCGCGCATGGAATGTACGAATACGGAATGTATACGGTATGGCCGTACGCGACGGGCGCCGGTTCGATACTACCGGCCTGTCGAGACCTCCTCCTTTGGTCTCCTCCACCTCGTACCGCCGCCATTCCCACTTGCTCGACAATGATGACGCGACGGGACAATAAGCAATGCCGGTACCAAAGACAAACTCGACCGCGGACCCTCTCCGAAGAAAAACTCGCGGTCCCAGGGTCCTTTCCCCCGTTATTAATCCTTCTATCCTGCCTCTTTCTTAACTCTTTTAGCCCGCTCAACTATTTACAATGCCAGCCGGCAGGTCGACTAGCTCGTCGACCGTCAATGCGGTCGCTTCAGGTGCTGCCTCTCTCACGAGGGGAAACTTCGACTCAAATTAATCAATGATTATGCGGTTATAAAGCATTATTGTGGTATGTGGATTTGATATGATACATAGAGAATAAGGAGCCCTATGATAATAAATATGTAGAAGTTTTTTTTTTGAAAATATAATATATATATTTTATAAGATTATCTCTTACAAATTTAAGATTGCAGAGAACAAGAAATTGAAAGAATTACTACTAGAGGAAAGTGACAGAAGTTCATTAAGGGCTTTAGTTATTTTTCCTATAGAATCTTGTATGTTAATCCTTACTACGTCTGAGTGTTAAAATATAGTGAGATAAATATCAGTATCAGGTGACGAAATTAGAATAGTGTAAGTCCGTTTGACGTTGCGGAAGAAAAAGAAGATTAAAGGTTTTAAGAGATAAAAACATATATTGGAAGTTGCACCAACAATCTATAAATCTCAGAAGGAATTCAAAAATTTAAATCATACAGGAATAGGATGATTTTACAACAAAGTATTTAAAAAATTTAACTAAATACAAATTAAAAATCATTTGGATCATCGAAATAACTATCTAGGTCGCTCAAATCGATTAACAAAATGCTTTTTGCAGCATTGCTCTTTATACTATTTCTACGTAATTATTTTGATAATCTAATAAAATTACTTTCAGACCTGTGGTCTAATTAAATTTTTAAATACTTTAGCGAAAGTTTTTTCCGCGTGTAGTATAATCCATTGTAAATGTACCTTATTAATACGTATAATGTAAATATAGAAATAATCAAATTGCATCACGCGCGCAGTTACGTCACATTAAAGCAACTAAGTGCGTATGAGCGATAATTATATGATTGTCTGATTATTTTGCGGAAAATTATCATGTAATTGTCCATAGTCATGCTACATCTAGCAAGCAATCCTTTTTGCTAATAATCGATGTAATAGTAGTACGATTTCCTTAACACGATCATTAATGTCACGAATAACTCATCAGCTTCATTCGCAAGCGTCGTTCTGACATGTTGCAATCTTCGGCAAAGCGGTCCGCACAATTACAGAGCATCTCGCATCTTAATCGGGCACGCGATATCCAGTGTGCGATCATCAACTTGTACATCAAGTAACCTGGCGCTGAATTTAATTGGCCAGCGAGATGTCAATTTCATACACATTTATCTCCCTGAGTCATGAATTCGTTCACATAAGCCACGAGATTTATTAAGCACGCATGAAGCACGCGCTACAAATTTTAATGAGCGTGTTACGATCTATTAATACCCAAATTCCAATTGACATCATTTCGTCAAAACATTTTGAAACTTGATAGTAAAGAATTTAAATAGCACTTTAAATATATAAAATATCATCAACCTTACATAAAGAATAATTAAATTTCTTTAAAATAGAACTTTTTTTATCAAATGTTTTCTAGAAGAAATTTAATGATATATTTAAACCGACCAGGTCGAAGCGTTTCTGGGACATTTTGTATGTATGAATCGAGAACTTTGAACATTGTGTTATCAATCTAACGAGGTGATTCGTCCAACCAGGGCCGACAGCGAAGTGTCGCTGACAGGAAAAGCGAACGTAACGATTGCGAATGGCGCGGCAGGTGTTCGTCATGTCTATTTATAACTCGTTCACGTCTTCGCGGATTCTATCCTATTTTCCTGCACCACACAGTTCGATTCGACGAGTATGCGAGACGCACGACGCGACATCGCGGTCCGTTGCGCAAGAAGCATAGACGAATTACGATCCTGCAAATGCACATATCACAAGTAACGATGTGTCTTCCTTCTACATTTTTTGCGATCAATTCAGATCTGCAAACAAGGAAATCTGATTTCCAGATCTTCTGTACAAGTACATATACCGGGTGTCCCGCAATTGTTGACATAGCGTTTTTGTGTGGATAGAGCAGACTAAATTGAGTCGGAAAGTCTATTTTGCAATTTTTGTTTGATAGTTAAGAAGATATTAATTACTAAAAATTGCCGAATATTGATTTTCAATAATTTTTTACTCAAGTATTACAAATTTTACAGAAAAATAACAAGTGACAAAAATTGTTTATTTTTTTCTCATAGAGTTCTGAGAATTTTTTCAGAATTTTTCAGTACCGCATTTTCTCATCGATTGCCAATATAAGAAAATGTAGTATTAAAAAATTGATAAAAAATTCTAAAAAATTTCTTAAAGCTCAGTGAGAAGAAAATAAACAATTTTTAATTTCTTAATATTGTAAACAATTTTTATTTCCTGTTGTTTTTTCAGTAAAGTTGATAGTACTTGAATAAAAAATTATTTCAGATATTCAGCGATTTTTAGTAATTAATATCGTGTTAATTATTGCGAAAATTACAAAAAGAGAACTTTTTGATTTATTTTAGTCCATTCTATCACTTTTATCTACACAAGAGCGCTTTGTCAATAATTGCGAGAAACCCTGTAGATATATATTTTTGTTTCTAAAATGACTAGTATGACTTACAGTTATAAAATAATAAAGTCAATATCTCTCATCATAATTTTAATCTTATTTATGATGAAAGATATTGACTTTATTATTTTCAAAATACTAAGGAAGCACATGTTTCATTCGCGTGAAATTTAATACATTAATTTCCGCAAAATTTCCGCAATCAATGTTAGCTTGATTAATAAAACGCAAGAAAATTAGAAGAAATAAATTTCTAATGATATTTCTAATAATGGAAATCGACAAGAATTTTACGGTTTTCTTCTGACATGTTCATAGACACGATACAGAATCTTAACATTTACATCCCCATAGTCGAAATTTGCGTCAGCAACATCAATGCTTTATGATTTCAATCGCGAGATAGTCTAATTAAGGGTTTTATAGGAGAATGTGAGTAAGGATTTAATGGTAATACATTGGGCGTCCTGTGACGTGACCAATACGATTTCATTGCAAAACGAATCGATTTCTTCGGCTTCATAAAACTCACCTTGCAATTGTTGAATGGTAGCTTGGTACTCGGCGAGTTTTTCATCCACGTAATCTTGACTCTGACTAGCGATGATCTCGGCTGTGCTGGGACCGCTACTTTCTTCGTCCGTCTGCGTATGATCTAAGGGTACACCAACGTACTCGTAACCCCCTGGTCTGTAGGGTGCTATGAGATATTCCGGTGGAGCGCATGGTATCGGTGATGCCGAATCGCTTCTGAAAGAAGTGCTCTGCAAGTTGAGAAAAAATACATTTTAGCAAGTTTTGCGTTGACATACTGAGTTTTTGCTGTACATGTTGAAATCTTTGTCAAAAATTTTGACAAGGAGCTATTAACTATTTTTTTATTAAATTTTACTTTAAATAAAGTTTTATTTTTTTTTTTAAAGAAGGAGAACAAAGAGGAAATTCTTTAAAACACTTATTTGTGAATATTTTAATTATTAAGAATGACTTCCAAATGTGTATTTTTAATCTATTATATCTCATCTTTTGCGCTAACATGATTATTTGTATTATAATTTGGATTATAGACACTCGAGTCTAAATAACCTTTCGAGTACTGCAACACGCAATGTGGACATACACAATGTGTCTACGACACATTACTATCGATCTGTCATCCTTCGTGCTACAACAACACATACCTGCGTCGGTATGAATGGCCTTGGCGCTTGACTACCCGTAGGAATCGGCGAAGGCCACCGTGGCCTTGGGCACTGGATGTAACCAGAAGTCGGGCAGCCGAAGACGGGCGACATCCCGGGTGAGATTGGCATTCCGATCGGTACCGGACTCATCGGATGCATCATTATTCCGGGATAGACAAGTGGTGACATAGGATGAGCTGGATGGACTGGAGTCGGAGGCCCGCGGATTCGTCCTTGCGGATATGGCGATGACGAAGGTGTGTATGGCGAAGCGGGCCTGAAGGGACTCGGTGCCCTCGGCGCATTAGATCGTCCTGACCAGCTACCCGGAGGCACATGACCTCCTCCGGGTGGCCTCGACGGATGCTGTTGCGACATTTTGGATCACTTCAACTGCTCGCCGTATCACCTCGTTTATAGGCTAGCATCGCTATAAGTAAGATAGTGATTCATTTGGTCTCTAATTATCTGAACATCAAATAACAATAGAATCGTGCTCTCAGTTGTTTTCAGTTCTATAATGCAATTCGTATTAATTACATTTTTTATTAGCAACAATCGCTTATGTATGTTTATTGCTAATTTTGTCTATCGTGGAAAGAACAATTTTGCTAAAGTGTCTAAAAGCTTAGATCTATATAGATCTGAAAATAATTTTATTGGACCATCAAAATAATTACGCCAGAATGTCAAGCATGATGAGCAATGTTGCAAAAAGTTTTAACATTCTAGCAATCAGTATTGAGTATTTTACATAATTATGTTGATGGTCCAATGAAAGTATTTTCAGATCTGTATTTAGCTAAATTTTTAGATGCTCCAGCAAAATCATCCTTTTTATAGACATGACATTTACATTAAATAAATGATAATATTGCCACGTTATCATCATGCGTCGATTTTATAAGCTAAGATAATCCTAATTTTGATCGATTTGATCAAAAAAATTAGAAATATAATTAATTATTACTTGACTGATTTTAGATATATTTGTCAATAAAGTTTCACGCCCTATATTAATAAAGTAGCGGAATATAGAATACAAACATTTAGAATTGCATTTTAGAACGAGACACAGTCTGACGTTTGATTGACAGTAATCATTTTTAGGAAAACAAAACGTCCACAAATGAACTTTAAGAAACTAAATGGACTTTGGGTCGCATAATAGCGTCGGCTATTCGACATGGCACATGGCCAAAAGTTTCTCGAAATAGGTGAGTACGTATGTACCTATGAACTCTTGCACACTAATAGAAAGAAGGTATCTACGTTAATTATCAAAATGTCAGAGAGAATGTAGGCACGCGAGCAAACGAATAACGAGAGTGATATATAATAAACAGAAGTCACGGCGTCAACCAAATAAGATAATCAGATATATTTCAACTAATTAACGTAATTTAGATATTAAGTTAATTAATTAAGTTAATATAATTAAGTTAATTTCGAAAATATCTGTCAGTTATAATAATAAGTATATTCTAATAGGCGCTCTATATTTTCGAAAGTACCGAGAAACATTTCGACAGATTTCGGTCGTAGAGTTCGTTGATACCAAAAATCTTGGCAACTGGAACAGCAGTCTATATCTATTCAATTTCGGCCAGACACATCGAATTCGTCATGTTCTTCTCGATCACAATTACCGTTTTCATATTTGCACGTATATATTTTTTGAAAGGAATTTAAAAAAATGGTTTTTCCTGTACAATTATTATTTTTATTATTATCAGATCGAATAACAATGTTAAGATTTTCGAATCGTCCTTTGCATGTATGTTTCTAACGACACATACACTGGCAACGAGAGGTATTTCTCAGCCTCCTTCCATTGTTTCGCCAAATCATTTACGTGCCATAATAGTCGAAAGAGGAAATCTATGTGCTCCTAACGCGTGTAGACGAAAAGTCTTAAGCTTTTTAGCTAGACACCGAGTGTAGGCCGGCTAAATATAGCGCTATTTCTATTTTCGATCAGCACCGGCGTTCATACACGCCCGACGAGCCGGCCAGGTATATTCGCAATGACTGCGTCAGATATTTCGGAAACTGACACGGATATTAACAGCTGTAATCGCCGATCGCGGTCGCGTCGGTTTGACCACACACGTGGAGTGCGAACAATCGTTAATCCCGAAAATATATCTCGCCGATATAATGGCCGATCTCGTAAGTAAATCTTGAAAGGTGTCACAACTCTTTCGCGATCTGCTGTCGTTCGAGAATGATTTTCAACTGGTTATATTCCAAGAACGTAATTAGCATGTATTAAACTAGAATGTAAAATATGACGAACTTGAGACTCCAAAGAAGCATGTTTCCATTGTCTAAATCTTGTAACAAAAGCGTAGTGCTAGTTTGTAATTTAACAGTAATTTATACTGTTCTTTGAAAGTTTATGAGAATCTGGGACATTCATTCTTTTCTATGACACTCGGTTTGTATCTCATCTATATATGTGCGTGCATAACATATGTCTCTCTGTCATAATTCTAAGATATGTATTAGCAATGTAAAATATAAAGAACTAACAGAATAGTAAATAATTGAAGCATTAATTTTAAAGAATATGGTAAAAGGAATATAGCTAAAGTAATTTGTGATCGATCCAAATCTTTCTAATCGATAGAATTATAATCGTTAATGTTAGAATCGTGATAGCAGCGTTTTGCTCGCTGTTTAAAACAACGAGATCTTAATCTCGGTCACGCAAGGCAAAACGAAAGCCAGGGAGATCTCAGTCAGATTGCTGGAAAATTTAGTGCGAGGACGGATCAACGGACAGTCGAATATTAGCAACATACTGGATCCTGGACCTCGGATGCTGCGTCCAAAAATAAGATCTCTCTGCTGAATTGATGATCAGAAATAGTTGGCGTTCGGAATGAATGTGGCTGACGGAATTGTCTGATTTGTCAGTCAAGTAATTATTATTGGTTCTCACCCTTATCAACTCTGACATCAGCGACCATACTATAAATGTTTGATTCTACGTACTGTTAAACAAGCTTTGCAATGACTCATCTTTGATGCATATCAGGTTTATTCATTGCACTTGTTTCTTCATTGCTCTTTTCGAGAGCATCTCAAGTCGATTCGTTAAACTTGACTATGCATGTATAAATCGTTATAGATTATCTGTTTAAGTTCTTAGATGAAGCTAATAATCCGAAATTTTTTAAGAAAGAAATTGAAAAATGTTCTTGATAAAAAAAATGTATTGAAGCTATTGAAAATTACTCTCAATATATATGTAATTTCACTTTCAACTTTGTTTAGCAAATTTTCATGTAAACTTTTTATATCAATTTAATAATGCATATGACGTGAAAATGGACACATTACTTATTTTATTAACGTCTATCATAATAGAACACAAACAAAATATCGTAAGTAATGAATTAGATTAAAATTACTACGATATGATGATTAATAAAATTTATGAATTACGCAATCATATGTAAACCATCACGTGCTCAAGCAAGCAACCACCCACGCGAATTGCAAATACACAGAACATTCCAAAACTCATAATCATAATTTTAACAATATAAATTCTTTATTTTACTTGCTTAATTTGTCGAAAATCTTAATTTTAAATTTTGTAATTTCCTGCAACTCCAAAAATCGGACTTTCAACACTATAAATAAAGTAGTACAAAAATTATGATTGAGGTACACGTAATATCTTGGGTACACGTAACACAAATTACCGGCAATTCCAGCAAGTTCTTGATGCGTTTCAACTGACGATCTCAATGACCGATTGATTCTCATCAATTGAAATTAAATTCTACTCTGAAAAACACACTTTGTTGCTCCGCAATCGTTGGGGATTCACTACGAAATTTGCGATCAAGGACTGATCATCAAGCGAGAAATTTGATCGATTGGTTATAGATCGAGATAAAACGGTGAAAGAAAAGAGAAAAAAAGAAAGGAGGAGAGGACAATTTCTATGCCGGATCTCGCGACGCGAACCACAGAGAGACTGGTCCCGGCGCTGGATCATCGATCCAGGATGGGCGTCGCGACGCTCTCTCTCTCTCTCTCTCTCTCTCTCTCTCTCTCTCTCTCTCTCTCTCTCTTTCTCTCTCTCTCGCGGACCGCATTTATATTTAACTTTGGCATCACTCGACATTCGACTTAGCAGCACTGCTCGTCCTTTACTCCTCGCCCTCCAACAACGTTGCCCTCGTTCTCACCTCCTGTTCTCTTCTCTTCTTTTGACGGGCTCGCTTCTTTTTATTCGTTCCACCCTGCGTCGTGGACGCTGGTGCGAGGTGCTGGTGCCACGCTATTATCACCGATGAGCCAACGGCCATCGCTCATCGATAAATTTGGTCGTTCATTACGAAAATGACGCGCAACTGAATAATGATCAAACGTACTATTTGCGGAAATGATTTTGCGGGACGACGACCTGATCGTGCATCTTCCTTCATTAAGGTGTAACAGAAATGTGTTACATTCTAGACATGATATTTTCACTAACGTCAAAAAAGATCATGCATGAAATATAGGAAAATTTGCAATATTACGATATTTTTGAATGATATAACTAATTATTTTTTATTATAATATTTCTTATTCTTATATGATCTTTATATATATATATATATATATATACATATATAATAATTTAACTGTGTACATAAATTTACTTAATTTATTGATCAATAAAACATTACAACTAGCAAAAATGCAGTATAAGTATAATCATAATAAATATACAATTTGGCTAATGAAACAAATTACTAAATAATAAATTATGTTAAGAATATAGCGCATTAATGAACGTATATGTATATATGTAATTATTTATCTTGTAAAACACAAAAACGTATATAGTATATTCGTTCAAAGTGTATTATACGTTTTTACTTCTTTTTTTTTTTTTAGTATCGTCAATATTAAAATTGAACCTCCTTTGTTTCAATTTATTGGAAGGAATGGCCCATCTATAATCACTCAATTATATATATATATAGGAATACATTTAGCTGCATACGACGAGCACTGTAAACCAGGTCAGCATTGCTCGGACATTACACACTACACTACAATTATAATAAAGTGTTATCCAGTGAAAAATGACCGTCAATTCGATGTCGAATCAACGTCGAAATCATCAATTCAATGTCGAATCGACGTTCATTCGATGTTGATAATCATTTCTCTGGCTATGTAACAAAATCTTGCGTGTAAATGTACATATTGTATTATAAATATATACGTTGATGCAATATTATATTGTTGTATAAATAGCTAAAATGACAAAAAATTCAAAATAACTGAAATTATAAAAATATATGTACACGCATTTTCGTATAAAAGCAATCAAATAATACAATTACTTTCTATTATACTTACGAATTGTGCCAAGTCAAAGCAAGAATCCATAGAATTAGGAGCAGTTGTTATGCTATTGATAGCGACCGTAAAAACCATTAAAGCGAATATCAAGTACTTCATTGTAATGAAGAAATTTGCGCTGCAAATATTTAAAAAAAAGTAAATTAACAGTATCTGATTGCATTAGATTAATAATAATTGAATGTATAATACGATGAACAATATTAAAAGAAAACTGTAGTATATTTTTCAATGTAATTAGCATCAATACGTACAAAATTTTATTCAAGTAAAATAATATTAACAATAAATTAGATACCGAAAATTTTCAAGACTCCAAATGCACCTAACTTTAAGAAAACTACAACTATGTGATGGATTCTCGTAAATTTATAGAAAGAATTTATAGAAAATGCAGATAATTTTATTTGAGAAATTGATAATAATTGATAATAATCTATCAGAAGGTTTTATTTTTTCTGTTTGTAGATATCTCGGAAAAGATATAAATCTGATCGTTTAGTCTTGATCTAAATAGTCTTGATCTTGATCTAAATATTTTACCTGCACAAAAACATTTTATAAATATGATTTAATATGATATGATGAAACATTTTTCTACTGATATTTATTTAAAATAAGTTATTTAAAAAATTTTTCTTGGTTTCAAAATACAAAAATAAATAACAATAAATAAAGAGCAAAGTAAGTTTGATTTTTACTTTGTCTTTTATATATTGTTATTTATTTTGTATATGAAAAGTCCTTCTATCTGTTAAATGAAAAATACAAAAAATTGATCAAAAGATAAAGATTCAAAATGATAAATATAATCTAGCGGAAGCAAAGAATATATTTTTAATTTCTAATTGGAAATTAAAAATTTTTTTCTATTATAAAATTTTTCCAAGATTGTAAAATAATATAATTTGAACATATAGCCTATTTCGTATATCCGCAAATATTAACATAATGAAATTTTTACATCACTGTTGAGTTTCATTTACACCTTATACATAATCTGAATATTGTCATATTGTATGTATATTATCAGAAAAATATTTTAGTAATTGTCACATAAAGGTAATGTGCAAAGATAGTGACTATGTTAAGTCTTTTAGACTAGTCTAAGAACTTTTAAATCTTACTAAGCAAATAATTTTTTATATTTTATAGTATATATACATAGCACTTATTACAATTTTTTTAAATTGTAGCGTAACTTCTATCATAGATATGTTCACAATCATTAAAATGTAGTACATTCATCCCCGAAGAAGTAGCGAATATCGGCCGACTCTTGGGTTTAACAACGGGGATGAATATACTACATATTATACGTTTTAGTGATTTTTAAAACTTAGCGTTCCTTACTGGAATTTGTTACAGTCGAAGAAGTAGCGAATATAGGCCGACTCTCGAGTTTAACAATTATTTAAACAAATTAATCGGTATGTGCGGTAATTTAATAATGACTAATTTCTTCGGCAATGAATATACTACGTTTTAGTGATTTTTTAAATGTTTAAAAAATCTACCCCTTGCCAGAATTTTATATATAATAGTATAAAAGAATCATATATTTTGTGAATTTTCGAATTATTTATAAGAATTTTTTTATTGCAATTTTAATCATTATTACGCAGTATCGTATTGGAATTACGTTTGTATTTTATTATCCATACTTCTATTTATCGCATTTCGACTGTTTCGTTCCTCGGGGCTCCGAGCATTATTCGTCCCTGAGCTACACGAAAAGGCGGCTAGTTTCAGCGTCATATTTATATTGCGTCAATTACTGAAGACGACCAAACTTATGTGATCGAAACGTCTAAATTTTTATTAATAAACATTACAGCTTTTACACACGAATAACTTGTGTCTAGCTCTTATAGACTTTTTTTTCACTTTGATGATTGTATATCACTCGAGCCTTACACTTCTTATATTTTAAGATTTTTTATTTAAACACATTTTTTAAAATGAATTTTATTTCTGATCTAGTTATTCAATATGTCAGAAATATAATTGTTTTTAAATATAACACATTCTTTGAAATGAGTTTTATTTGATGCAGTTATTCAATATGTTAGAAATACAATTTTTTAAAAACATAACATATTTTTTTAAATGAGTTATGTAATTTTATTTGATCTAGTTATTCAATGTGTCAGAAATATAATTTTTTAAAAACATTAAGACAAGTATATGTACAAAAATATATGAAAAATAAAGGAAATCTTAAAAAAAATTAAGAATAAAATACTTACTAATTTTATTGAAAGAAGAAATATCTCATATGCAATACGATCTCCTTTGATATTCTGGAACGGAACGCAATAAGGTATATATATATACACACACACACACACACACACACACACAAACACAAAAACACACACCAACAAACACACAAAACCTTGTATATTTATTTTATCTCAATAACATAAAATTAATACTTAGGCCCAATTACACCAACGTTACTTTGACGTTAAGCAAGACTTAAAATTCTTTCTGTTTCGTTTTAAAGTGAAAGAGAAACAGAGACAGAGAAAGTTGTCCTTGTCGAACTTAAGAAACATTAATTTTGTGTTATTAAGATAAACTAAATATACAAAGTTTTGTGCATATATATGACATCATTAGTACAATCAAGCCTTAATATCTATACATATTATCAGTTCAATTTACTATAATATTAAAGAACCGGAAAAAACTGAATTTTTCCAATTTTTTCCGTAAATTTTCTTAACAGTAAAAAAATTCGTTGAAAAAATTCATGCGTGTTTGTAAAACTTGCCATATTCGTTTCTTGATACTTTTCGTAAAATCGCCTATAGCGCAGGCACGGCCAACAAGTAATTTGGATAAGTTAACTTTTGAAATTGCATTAAAGATTGAAGTTGCATAGTGTAGAGGAGTCAGTAAACTATAGGGATAAGAGAGAAAATAATCGAGACTACTTTAAAAACAAAACACGCGAAACACGCCTAAACGTGTCTGAGCACGCAACAGCGACTGCCGCTCAGTCTGCTATAACATCGATCGTTGCGAATATATTTATGATAGAAGTTACGCAACAATTTTAAAAAATCGTACACTTAATTAAATATTTTTATTCTCAAACATTTTGTTTTACAATCGTATATGATTGCCTGAGATATTTGATTTCTATTTAGAGAGTAAGTGTAGTTCTTATTCAATAAAGTTTAAAGTCTAACAGATTTTTATTATTTATCTATCTTCTTTTTATCGTATACTATTAACGTTTTTAAAAAACGGATAGTTTAGGGTTTAGGCTAACCACAGCATGGGGCTATATGATTCATTTAGTGACGACTCTTATAGTACTTAGTACTTACTCAATATTTCATTTTTTTAGAAAGATTTCTCAGTGGTAAATGTTATAAGTTTAATTCCCTCACGTCTAATCTCGATAAAACTAGGCTCATTCGAGGTGTTTTTGTATGAAACGAACGAATTTAGCAAAAAGAAGCATTGTTCTGTCTTGCGAAGTGAATGTCAGAGTTTAAAATATATTTTTATAAAAGTTTTATTAATATATAGTCAAAGATATAGCTTAAAATACATTAATTTTCATTTTAATCTTAGTCAAATTACTCCACATCTCACCTTAGTCACCTTACTTCGATTGGGAGACTCACAATCAGATGGAATGCATTAGAAAAATGTATTTTTTTCATAATAGTTATCAATTTCTCCTTATTACTAAAATATTATTAGATAGTCAAATGTATGTAATAACTGATATGGAATTCATTTTTTCGATAAGTCTTTTAATTTTGTCTGTAAAAATTTATAACTGAAAAATGAGTCTACTAGCCTGGTCTCCCCTATTCTATTAAACATATAAAACATACAAAACATATACTATTGCATCAATGAGAAAATTAAAACGAATCGCATAAAATTTTTAATATATATATATATATATATATATATATATATATAGAATTACAAAATTTTTTAAAACCTTATCCTTATTCGTAATTTCAAGATTGAATGCACATCTTTATACACATCTTTATAAACATATATTAATTTTTAATCATTCAAATTACTCTTCTTACTCAGCATTTTCACTCTTTTCTTTTCAACGAATATATACTTACTTGTTTTAAATATAAAAATTTAAGGGCAATACAAATAAATATAAGATTTATTTTTTATTCCTGCGTTGTAAGCTCTAAAAAATTTTAATAAAAATAGGATTACATAATTTCAGGAATCACATTAATTTTATGAAGGAATTTAAAAGTTATGTATTATGTCATTTATATATAGCAAAAACAGCAATTCTTAAAAAAAATTTTCGATTTTTTTTTTACAATAATTTGAAAAAAGTAGTTTTTTAACTGTATAGTTTAAAAAAAAACTACTTTTTTCAAATTGCAAACTCATTTTCAAATCAAACTCTGCAAAATCGCTGTTTGGAGACTATATATATATATATATATATATATATATAGTTATATACTTATATTACACTGTACAACAAAAATAATTTTTATTTTTGTACTAAAAATTCATTTTTATGTAAAAATGAAAATAAGAGGTATAACCTTCAATGGTCTTTATTTCGATAAATGATATTCAGGACATGATCTTGAACAACAGAGATTTTAGCCGTCGGACATCTTGCGTAATGTTAATAGCGGCAGTATTGTAACTTTCAAGCCTCATAATTTGAAAAGTATTTAATGAAAAATAACTATTACAGTCTTTTGAAAAGCTCTCGACACCAGTTATTTGATTCTGGAATCAAAAGTAGGGTGTCCTATTAAAAAACAATCGATGTGATCTTGACCTGACATTGGCGACACCGTCCAAGGCCAAACTAAATAAATAGATCTTTTTGAATCCTACAACTATTGTCTGAAACACTTTTCCGTAAAGCTTATATTTTCCGAGATATTCAGGTGTCCTGATCTTTTTGGTAGGTTGTCCCATGTATATTATAGTAGTACAATTTTTTATTGAAGTTTAAACTTTTTTGTTTAAATACGTTCTTGGAAATGAGTTTTATTTGATCTAGTTATTCAATGTCAGAAATATAATTTTTTAAAAACAACACATTTTGATACATTTTTTTCATTTTTCAGGTGTTTTTTACATTTATGTATAGTTTTATTTTCATCTAATGATTGGATTATAGTTATTAAGTCATGTACAAGTTTTATGTAACTGACGTTTATCGAAAGTAAACAAGTGATACTGGTTACAATGTACAAATTATTATAGATTATGTCAAATTATAATGTATTTTATCATGAATGTACTCAATTCATAAATTCTTGAGACAAGATATATGAAAAATTTGCTAACAAAATTTATTGTATTAATATTATTAATTGATAATATCTGTTGTATAGCTTGGGGACGCGCTTTAACGACAAAGAAAACTTCGACAATGATCGCATCCGTCGTGCTATTAAGTTTTCATATAAAATCGAAATAAATGTCGGGAATATCAAGCTATTTTATAAGATATATAGATATATCTGTTGGGCAGAATCTTAATTTATTAATACATTTTAATTTTCAGAAAGAGAGACAGAGGGAGAGAGAGAGAGAGAGAGAGAGAGAGAGAGTTGCCAGATTTTGAATTAATAATTGAAAAAGGTATGTTTCAGTAAAAAGCAACGAATTCTAAATACTCATCTAATATGCAAAACTTTATTCCATTGAGAACAGAGGTAGAGAACACATTTTTGTAAATTTCTTTGGCATTCAGTATTAGGCTCTAATAAAATGTATAGGTCGATTATAAAAAATTTATCACGTAAAAAAGAGATATGTCTTAATTTTCTTTTTTTATACAAATATATCAACTGGACATACCCATGAATTTATGCGATTTATCTTAAATTTTTAAGACAAATTAGCCCTATTAATTGTAAAAGTGATGTTAATCACGATCCTCTCGAATTACACTCTCTGCAAAAGGAACAAAAAAGATGTTTTAAATGACAATGATGCCATCACTTATTCACATACGCAGCTGACAGTCTGTATGTGCAATTTAAAAAAACGTGATAAATACACAGGTGCAATATAATTAGTACAATCGAATGCACTTTTATACCAAAGTGCCTCCAGTGAATGTAATAAAATTTGTAATGATTGCGATATTCGTAACTAGATAGGAACTACTTTTAAGATTTATTTAAGAGCTATGAAAATTTTAATTGACGGAATAAATTTATTGACAAAACTAGAATCCATTGCGTGCCTAAAAAATCGATTTTGATAATAACAATCGTAGCTTAAATAACGTACTATCACTGAAGCGCATAATTAACTTTCAAGCATTGCGACGTATCGACTTCCATTGCAAATTACGGTCAGCACAGCGTATCGTGATAGACATATATATTTATAAATATACTATAACAGAACATTATACAAAACAACAAGCGTTTCGGCAGCAGCCGCTATTGACTCGACTTCTCTCTTGTAGTGTACATATATACTAATAACAATATATATATATATATATATAACATAAGAGTTAACGTCATTTTAAATATAGCTAATTAACTACTAACGATTATCTTACATTGCCATATCGTCTTCTCATTCACGAATATAATAGTAAAAAATTGGCTAGTTTGGTAGATAAAAAGGTACGCATATTCATTGTACATCGTTCATTGATTGACTTTCTTGTGCGCTTTCATTTTCCACCTGCATAAGATGAGGTAGTTCAGCTTTCGTAGCCAACTCCAATGTATGCATCCATCTGTAAGTTCCATGAACATATAATATTAGTATTATTCATTTATTTACACAAGGTACAAATTATTCGAAAAATTTCGATACCCACTTTTCTTTGTCCTCTTGAGAAGATGCTTGGAAATAGTAGTATTTTCTCGAATGATGCATTTTGAATGCTCTTATCCGATCTTTCGTGTTCAAAGGGTCTTCATCGGGTAATTTTGTACCTTCCGTAACCATAAATCCTGGCATGGGCGTCGCTGTCATGGCCATACTCTCCGACTCGGATTTGAACGAATACAAAACGAAGTCAACATGCAATGCAAACCATCGTTTTGTCCAAGGCTTACTGGCTTGCGTCTTTAGTAACAGGTATCCGGATAATACTGATGGCGCACTCGCCGATACCTGTAGTAAACTTGGCACTGGTCCAGACGGTGACGATGGTGATTTGGTGAGCGGTTGAGTGAGCGCGGCATGACATAATCTACATACTCTCATATTCTTATTGTCTTCAAATAATAATTTCTGATTTGAGCATTTACTGCAAACCACCTGGAAAGAGACGAAATTATCAC